GCCTTAGAAACGCGGCGCTTTACAAACTTGCCAGGAAGCCTTCGCCAGACAGATCCTCGTGCAAGGGCGCGGGGAAGCCCGCTGCGCCCGCTCGTGCGGGGGGGGGGGGGGGGGCGCTCTGAAAGCGGGCGAGCGAGCTCCCGGGCCCCCCGAAGCGTTCTGAGAAGAAGCGCTCTGAGAAGGAAACATAGTCATCTCCATCATCAAGTGCCCCATCAGCAAGCACTCCAAAATCACCTAGGTCGAAGAAGAGAACCTGCCCGGTAGAGGCCGAACCCGGAGGAAAGAACGCGCAAAGATCCGCGGGGCAAATTGCCCGTATACCATGCCCCAGAGGGCCAGCTGCGGCGGCCGCAGCGGCGGCGTTCCAGGACAGCAGCGCGCCCACGCCGAAGGAACCTGTTGCGCAGCGCGGCCCCGCTCCTGGCAGGGCCCGCCGGGGAGCCTGCTGGCCGCCATCATTGGACGGCGCAACCATGCAACGCGCCTCGCCTCGCAACTCGATGCGGAAGGGGCGGCGCTCCAGACTGCATCCAAGCAAGGCACCAGGAGCAGCTCCGAAGGTGAGCGGGTGCCAGTACTTTGATATCCGCGAAAGGAGTAATATCCCACCTGGAAGTGCAAGTTCGCCCGTAGAGCCCGCCGCTGCTTCGGCTTCTGCGGGGGCACCCGCTGCGCCTGCATCTGGATATGCGGGGCAACTTGTCATTGCCCCTGACATATATGAAGGTGGCGAGCGCTACTGGGAGACACTTGGCACCTTGCAGCAGATGATGGTTAACCCAGCATGCATGGCCAATGCTGACGACGGTTCGAGCCGATACAGAGTAGTAGAGCGCCCAATCCCACGCAACGCAACGCGCGTGACAGAGAAAGCCATCGAACGCCCGCGCGTCCACAATCAGTTGCGGCAAGAGCCAGACTACAGCAGTGAGGCTACCTATCGAGGACACTCTACGGTGCGGACGTGGATACGCAGCTATTGACAGATAACGACCAGCGCAAATGCTCGGAGTGGCTCACCACAGCCACCTGGCACAAGCCGTTTTACAAAGATGGTGCCTTGTCCCAGTTTGCGGGATTTGTTACTTCGTTCGACGTGTTCGACGGCTGGGTATGCCTCAGTGATTTGTTGGAAGACTGGCCACCAAAGAATTTTGAATTCTATCATCATAAGCACCCGGGCTCCGTCAAGAAATCCCTCTGGGGTAGGCATTGAGCATGCCAAGCACTAGCCGCATTGAAAATCTGCGAGACGGTCGACCACCATTCTGGTACGCACAAGAACCGACTCCAGGTGAATAAGCTCAAGTTCTGCGGGGACACCCGCCCGACTTACTACTACTTCGGCCCAGCAACGGGCGCGGCAGCCCAGGCATGAGATGCCCAGAATCACTGTGGTCTCGAGAGACAGACTTGACGGAGGCGGGAGCGCCCTGCTATTTCATGCACGGGACCAAATGGGCGCGCATCCCGAGTACGTCGGGTGTCGGTCTGTCATGCCGAAGCCAAGACAATCCTAAGAAGGGCTCTGGCAGACAGATGATTCATGGATGCCCAAATTTGCCTGGCGATGAGCGCATCCAGTCAGGCCTACGGGTGGACTCCGAGGTTCTGATCTTAGTAAGCCTCAAGAACTTGATCCGGTAGGGTATCCCAGTATGGCGATCCGCCCATGATATCATCATCGCTTTGGGTGATAAAGGTCTTATCGCTGTGAGTTCCCTTGTCCAACTCACCAGAATCAAGCGCAACGAGTACAAATGTGAGCACGGCCGTGTGGGGCAGGTATGGTTCAGTGATTTGCACGCTGGCACTCAGCGGGGTAGCCTGCCAATCAGCGCGTACCGAAGGGGTGGTACGAAGCACCATGCGACCTCTTCACGCTGAACGAATGGATCAGGCCTGACACGCCTCATAACCGGCGAGCACCCACGCCGAACTCACCTACAGAAGAGGTACATCATGCCTCGATAGTCGTGGTACAAGAGGTGAATCCAGCGGGGGCGCCTGCAGACGGCTCTGATGGATCTTGGATTCAGGCACAGCGTGCCGATGCGTCGGGTATCACACCCAGTGCTGCAACGCCAAACGGTGGGCTTTTCGCCAGCGATCCGTGGCGCAATCAGGCGCAGCAGGTGCCTGCGCCCGTGAGCGGGCCCACAACTCCGGTTGGCATTCCACAGAGTGCTGGTAGCACTAACAGCCTACAGGTCAGACGCCAGAGCATGAGGTGGACCCGCAGCTCTATCGGGCCTTGCGAGCCACATCGCCCTTTGCATCCCCACGTGCTGCAGCGCCACAAATTGCGCCGTCGTGGCAGCCGGTGGTTTTGGACCAGCACGGCAACATGAGGCCCACGACAGAGGCTGCCCAGAGGGCCGACAGCACGCTGGGAGAACAGCAGTGCATGCACAGACAGATGCAGGGGGCTATGGAGAGCATGGGGCGGGATGGAACCGACCTGCCAAATGCACATTGGACTCCATCTTGGGAGTATGTGCCTGACGCAAATCCGCCGCCGAACCATCCGAGACGATATGGATGCATACCTGCGTTCTTCAGTCAACCAACCTATGATCCGACAGCTGCCAATATGCCCGTGAACGGAGTTTGCTACCTCGTTCGACGTGTTCGACGGCTGGGTGTGCCTCAGTGCTTTGTTGGAATAGTGGCCACCAAAGAAGTATGAGTTCTATCATGAGCACCTGGGCACCGTCAAGACATGCCTCCGGGGTAGGCGTGGGCCATGCCAAGCACTAGCCGTACTGAAAATCTGCGTGGTGGTCGACCGCAATTCTGGTACGCACAAGAACCGAGTCCAGGTGAAGAAGCTCTAGTTCTGCGGGGACACCCGCCCGACTTACTACTTGCGGCCCAGCAAGGGGGACAGCAGTCCAGGCATGAGATGCCCAGAGTCGCTGCGCTCTCGGGTGACAGACTTGACGGAGGCGGGAGCACCCCGCTATTTCATACACGGGGACAAAAGGGCGCACATCTCGAGTACATTGCGCGTCGGTCTGTCATGCCGAAGCCAAGACAATCCTAAGAAAGACTCTGGCGATGAGCGTATCCAGTTGGGCCTACGGATGGACTCCTAGGTTCTGATGATAGTGGGCTTCAAGAGATCGTTTCGATATGGTATCCCAGTATGGCGACCCGCCAATGATATCATCCTGACTTCGGAGGATAAAAGCCTTATCCCGGTGAGTTCCCTTGTCCAGCTTATCGGCACCAAGCGCAACAAGTGCGAATGTGGGCACGGGCGAGTTGGGCAGGTACGGGTCAATGATTTGTGCGCTGACACTCAGCGGGGTCACCTGCCAAAGTTTAAACGCGTGCCGAAGGGGTGGCACGAAACAGCATGCGATCCCCCCATACTGAAGGGATGGATCATGCCAGACACCCTTTACAACCTGCGTGCGCCCACGCTGAACTCACCTACAGAAGAGGTGCATCATGCTTCGATATTCATGGTACAAGAGGTGAATCCAGCGGGGGGACCTGCAGGCGGTTCTGATGGATCCTGGATTCAGGCCCAGAGTGCCGATGTGCCGGGTCTCACATCCAGTGGCGCAACGCCAAACGATGGGCTTTTCGCCAACCATCCGCGGCGCAATCAACCGCAGCAGCTGCCTGCTCCCGCGGGGCAACCCGCTGCATTTGCGCCCGTGAGCGGGCCCGCAACTCCGCTTGGTATTCCACAGAGTGTTCGTAGCACTAACAGCTTACAGGACAGACTCCAGAGCACGAGGTGGGCCTACAGCCCTATCAGGCCTTACGAGCCACATCGCTTTCTGCATCCCCACGTGCTGCAGCGCCACAAACTGCGCCGACGTGGCAGCAAGTGATCATGGACCAGCGCGGCAACATGAGGCCCACGACGGAGGCTGCCCAGAGGGCCGACAGTATGCTGGGAGAGCAGCAGTGCATGCACAGACAGATGCAGGAGGCTATGGAGAGCATGGGGCGGGATGGAATCGACCTGCCAAACGCAAATTTGACTCCACCCTGGGAGCATGTGCCTGACGCAAATCCGTCGCCGAGCCATCCGAACCGATATGGATGCATACCTGCTTTCTCCAGCCACCCAACCTATGATCCGACAGCTGCCAATGGGTCGGTGGCACCGCAGATAGATTCGACCATGTTCCCAGACTACCACGCGCAGACGACAGAGGTTCCTCGGGTCGGAAGTAAAACCCGAAAGCCCGTGCGCCAGGGCGACAGCGGATGATTTCTACAGGTCTCAGCTCACAAGGGGAGCGGGTGCGGGGCTGGCATTCCCGGCCAGGTACCGCACAACGGGTACCTGGCGGCCCCTATGGACCAAGATGTGAATCCACATGGTCCAGAGCTGGTTGCACCTGCATCGCCGGGAGAGCTGCGTCCTGGAATAGTGGCCACGCATGAGGCGCAGCAAGCAAATGTCTCAATGCAACTCGCACGCCAGCAGCGCAATCAGGCGCGGCAGGCACGCCACGTGATGAGCCGCGCGGGGGCACCCGCTGCATCTGAATTTGCGGCGCAACCCGCTATCAATGCTTGCTATGGGAACGGTAGCTGCGGGGCCACCTGCTACTGCGCCAACGAGTCCTGCAGCTCCACCTAGCCGTTACGAAATTGGAGAAACTACATTTGAGCGGCAAGGTCTGGAGGCCCCAATGCTTCAATGATTTAAGGAGGCCCCAACGCGGCCACATCTTCCACGCGCTCTTTTGGGGCCGTGTTGCGCAGGCGCACGTGGGCTGACAGTTGGAGGGCGCCCCAAACGAGGCGCTGCGCGCCGTGCGCCGAGGCGTAGGTCTGACCACAGCTGAGTTTCATTACGCCTTCGCAGGAGAGCACGCTGCGGAGAACCGACATGATGAGATACTCCGAGGGGCAAATAAACTCAGGGACCCTCGCGAAGAACTGAACCAGATCACGTCCATGATGGCAGGCTCCACGGCGCCAGCGGGGACACCTGCTGCTCCTGCGAGGCAGCCCTCTGCACCTCCATGCACGCGGCCAATTCCAGCAGCAGCGGCGCCAACCGCAGACACGCAGATGTCGTTGATAGCCGAGTCAGCCGCCATTGCAGGGACCTTTGCTGCATCGACACCTGCGGGGTTACATGCAATCTACGCATGGCTCAGGCGCATGGATGGATCCAACACGCCATATGGCAGAATGCGGGGAAGCCCGCCGCGCTCGCGCAGGGCTGAAAGCCCAGTCAGTGCACGTAGTGGCGCCGGCGCTATACCCGAGCGCGACGCGCTGCATGCGGCGCCGATGGTCAACGCGGAAGGCCAGAACGCAGGGCGTGCCGATGAGGACACCTTTGAGAACATGCCACTTACACAAGAGTACCCCTTTCGGTCTAATGAATACCCTTCTGTCTGGACTATCCAGCAATACCCAGTCACAGAGGAGGAGAACAATGCGCACATGAAAGAATTTACCTCCATGACGAGGGGTCAGTCAGTGGACATTGGACCAGAGCGGCACAACATTGTCCATTGTACCGGGCGGATTCGGTGATCGACATGAGTTAGCCCTAGAGCAAACAGTGGGACCATGATTGATCGAATGTTGATGATACTGCTGGACATCGGTAGCAACGTAAACATCATTGGTTTGAGAACTTCGCAGGCAGTCGAGCGAGTTTCACGCTCGCGTGGTCACGACATCAAGGCATGGAACCTAAACGAGCCATTATACGTGACCGGAGTGGGCCAAGGGGCCGCAGTGTGCAGGACATCAGGGCATTGCAGAATTGCTTGCGCATGCAAAGGAAACTCTGCGGGGACACCCGCTATTGCGAGGCTAGACGCCTATTCAGCCAACCTGGCCGATGGGGTCTGGCGAGAACTTGCCCGCCATCCCGGGGCTGATCCCTGAAAAGGGAGACGAAAAGATGGCCATCCCAGGTGCGGACATGTACAGGCTCCTCCTTGGCACGGGCGCTAGGGTGCTTGATCTGGTAAAGACATCATCCGGACACCTGGCGATCAATGTTGATGAGTACGGTGTAGCAGCGGAGGCTGATGGAGCGACAGCTTTCACCATCACGGCCAATCCTCAATGCGAGGAAACGCCCGTGCTCATCAAGGAGACTGCAGACATGGAGCTGATTGTGGGGCAACTTGCTTCAAGCAGCGCGGGATTACCTGCCCTGGTGGACGACCACGCAAATATGATGTCCCAGGACACCAAGGGCATCGGCCACGCCATCAATGACGAGACATTTGCACATGCGGTTCAGTCCATGATGGACAACGCTCTGAAGACTTGGTGGCGCAGGCATACCTTATATAGTGGCAAGCCCACGCCCGCGGATCAGGACCTCGCCGCGAAGAGCCTGCAGGCGGAGATCTATCAGGCCATTTACAAAGAGGGCAGAAAGTGGACGCCACCCAACGGCCATGCGGGGCAGCCTGCCACCTCGGGCAACCCGCTGCATCGAGCGACATTGCCGAGAAATTTGACATTTTCGCTTCGGGAAGTGATTCCGCGGCCCATGGCACGGGCATTTGGACGCCCCCATCGTTTGAAGAAGAGTGACGGGGGCAGGCGCGCTACGGCCGCTCGCGCTTGCCCGGACAGGCCGACAACCGAGGTGCTGTCTACAGGCGCGGGGACACCTGCGTGCTTTTCCCGGGCGCCGGCTGCGCGCGCCAGGGACAGCGGCGGATCTGGCTACGCGGCCGCCGCAGAAAAATATCGCTCATCTCATCAATATCAGTATCGTGCTCTTGTCATTGAAGATATACGAACAGCTTGCGCTGAAGTCCGAGCTTGCGGATACATGATGGTATCGCGCACAGAGGTTATGACCTTTATGGGTACACAGTGCTGAGGTGGTCTGTTATCGGCAGACTATAAACTGCTATGGGTGGCAGCGCCCGCTGACTGGCATGTGCGACTGCCTGGGAAGCGGGGTGGGGTCACATCTTCAGCGTAGCCAGAATATTATGGTCAATGCTCGGGCCTTACGTATGTATATTGTGCTTATGGGACTTCCAGGTTACTTTTGGAGACTGGGACCCACGCGTGATACTATTGAAGAATTAGGCCTGCAAGTCATGCGGATGCGATGTTGCCACTTCGGTCTGAAGTTCGATCGTTCGAGTCGTTTCCGAGCGGTTCGTTCCTGCAGGCGGCAACCACATGCGCGCGCATTCCAGCCAATCCGTGGAAATTTACGTGCCAGTTTGCGGGGGGCCTGCTGAAAAAGCAGAACATGACTTAGACTCTCACGGCCAAGGCGCCCAGAGAGGGTAATGGCGAAACAAAGCGATCGCTATCATGACTGCACGGCTGATTGACCAAATAGGTCATCACAAGATACAGAGATATCGTGCAGGCGCTGTACATATCAGCGTACACACTCGAATAGATAAAGGAGCTCGGACTTACGTCCAGTCTCTTAAGAATGGCCCTCATTGGGGCAGTGTGGCACGCAGGGTGACAATGAACCTCGACGACAATACTGACATACAGGATATCAAGGTTCAGGACCAACCTGTCGGGTGCAACCACAATGCACCGTTGCCGAGTGGAGTAACTAACCTCCGTGCTCGAGTGCACTGGGAGCAGCCGGCCCCTGCCCTACTCAGCAACGAGGGGCAGCGACCACGCCCAAGGCGAGTTGCGACCGTCGATGGAGATCGTCTTCTCCTCCCCTCGATTGAGCGCGGCCGCGCGCTACCCCCTATTCCAGAATTTCCGACACTTACTACGCCCGACAGTGAGCAACAACAGACAGCACTACCTACTGATGCCCGGAAAAAGCAAAAAGAAAAGCAGAAAGCTGACAAAGAAGCCAGCATCAAACCACGCAGTATACCCAGGAAGGTCGAAGGTGGCAACGGCGACTGCGGCGAGGACCTGAGGGGCCTTGGATGTGGAGCAGACTACACTGACGTTCCTCTGGATTCCGACAGTGATGAAGATGAGGAGACCTTCGTTACACTACCAGCGGGGCTACCTGCGGACCCACATGCTGATGTGTTTTCCATAATCCCAACCTCGTGTTACGGACGAAACAACGAGGTAGACGTGCTGGAGTTGTGTGAGGGTAGCGGGGGATATCGCAGTTAGCCTTCAGCCGAGATTTATCCTCAGGGACAACCTCGACAGGCGTTCTTACGTTGACCTTGGAAACAAGGAAGTTCAGGATGCAGTACTGCATTACTTGGACGTATGTGTTGTGAAGGTTGTTATCATACAACCTAACTGCAGAACAACTGGACTACCTCCCTATTGCAACGCAAAGGTGAACTATGACACGTGGTATGCAGATCACAAGGAAGACCTTCCACGCATCAAGTATTGCGGACGGGTCGCCATGCGTCAAGACGATCTCCGACGGTTCTACCTACGAGAACAACCAGTGGGTTCTTGGGTGAATGAAATACCAGCATGGACGACACCAGCCAAGCGCAAGGGCACTCGCAAGGTCAGCGTGGACCAATGCACCACTGGCCCTCGTGACTCCAATGGTGTATCAATGCGAAAACCTATTGAGAGAATGGCCAATCACCGTTTATTAGTTGCACCCTTCGAGAACTAACGGTGCACGGGCCATCGCCAACATGCCTCGGTTTGATTCGGGGAATTGGCCAGGGCAGCCCAGTGCGCTCCGAAGATGCAACCCCTTCTTCGTTGATGCAGTTCAATTTGCACACGACATGTTTGCAGTTAGTCGTGATCCCTTCCATGATCACCCTCATGCGTCATCTGCTCTTGCCACGAACACACTTGGGTTCGATTTTGATTATCCAGCTATCCTTCGTCATCCTGACGGTTGCATCATGCGACCGCCATCAGAGGGGTGGGGATGTCCTGCATGCGTTGATAAGGTCAACATGCACTCACCATCACACGATAGAGACCCCAAACACTAGGTGGTACGACAAAGAGGATTACTACTTGGAGTGTCCAAGCTGCAAAAAGGACTACGGCAAGGCTGAGCCTGGCCACTTACTTACATTGGCAAATTCAAGTTTGCCAAACCGTGGAAGCTGCCTGACCGCCGCGGACAGGGGCCGCCAGCCCCTGCCGCACCGGCAGCCCCACCCAGCGGCGGCAGCTGCTTCCGACGCACCACCACCTTCGGCGACAGCTGCTTCCGAGGCACCAGCCGCCAAACAAATTGCGCGGCTACGGGCTTCGAAGGCCGGCCCCAGGGCTTGGCCGACAGCAGGCGCCAGCAGCCACGACATCACAGTAGGCAGAAATGCTGCTGCACCGATTGCGGGGCAACCTGCCTCAAGTGGCGCCGGTGGCTCGGACGACAATAGACGACTACCACAAATAGTAGCCAGACGTGGGCGACAACAGGGAGGTGATCCATCTCCACCACCACCTGCGGGTGACCTTGCTTCCCGTCTAAGGCTTCCAGACTGGTCAAGGTTCGACGTGCAAATTTGTTTGCAGAACTTGCGCAGCCTTCACCCAGGCGCGGTAGCACGCGAGTTACGAAAACTATATCTGCGGCGGTTCCACGCCAAGGAGCCTACGATGAGTCTCATATTAGCCGAGGCTGGTCTGGACAGCGTTCGGCTAAACTGGATGCAACTGCGTCTGCGGCACATGCCGGGAGCGCAGGGCTTAGGACAAGTCTGGACATGCTATCCTGCCGTCTACCGCATTACTCGGCAAGTCTAGCAAGGTCGAATGCAACCTGATGCTATGCAAACATGAGCATAAGGTCTTTCACGCAATCAGCCGTTGCATTCGATGCGGCGCTGGAGCCGAGATACAATATACAACTACCTATACGACCACCCTGCGGGTGATAAGGCGGTTGGGGGGGGGGGCGGCAATGGGCAACAGTGACTGTTGTTCTGACGATGCCTGTGGCGCGCAGTCTAGTGAGTAGTGTGACTGTGATCGTGGGCGCAACCCACGTCGCATTACGAACTGCATGTGGATGTGCACGTCGATGTGCATTTCGATGTGCCTTTCGGTTTGCATGTCGGCTTGCATGTAGACTTGCATTCGATAGCTCGCCGCAGCCACG